CAGGACTTGCGGCAGCGGTGGGCTACCGCAAGGTGCTTCAGGAGCCTCGGGAAAGTATGGAACTCCTTCTGGCAGCACCTGCACGCCGTGCCCGTCGCCCATCGTCGGGTGGTTCTCGCGGTCGGGGTGGTCCCTTCCCATCTGAACTGCCATGCCCTGCTTGGTGGCTGTGCGGCCACAGACGTAGCAGACGTATTTCGCCTCGGCGGCGCCGTCGGACTGGTCGATCTCGGCGGTGCTCGAGGAGATCAGGGGCAGCTGGATACCCTTCTGGAACTTCGCGAGTTGGGCCTGGTCTCGCATGTAGTGCAGGTAGGCCTTGGCGGCTGCCTTGACCGCGTTGGTGAAGTGCTTCGGCCTCTGGCGGGCCCAGTTAATGATGTCGCCGTCGTGCTGGTTCTTGCTCGGCCACCTGTCTCGCGGGAGGTGCTTTCGGAGAAAGGTAAAGTCCTGCTTGAGCAGGTGGCTCCAGGTGCCTCTGCGCTGCCGCTGGCTGTCGAGTAGCTGAAGTAAGACCGCAGGCGCATGGTGCAGGAGCCGCGGGAAGTAGCGTACTCGGGCTGCCGTCTGGTGTGTGTGGAAGTCGGGGAGGCCTGTCTTCGCGATCGACTCGCTGGTTGTGATGTGCTTGTCGGGCGTGTTCGTCTTGGGCAGGGAGGCCGCTACTCGGTAGGGGCCCATGTACTTGGCAGTGATGTGATGTGGTTGCGGTCCTTCTTGGTCAGGCCATTCCAGACGTGGTGGTTAGAGGTCAGCGACGAGGTCGAGAGCGCCTGAACGTACTTCAGCTTGGCCTTCGTCGGTTGCTTCTTGCGGCGAAGGATCTGTTTCTCCATCGGTCGTGCTGTTCCGAGCGTTCTGTTGACCTCCTCCTCCTCCTCCTCCTCCTCCTCCTCCTCCTCCTCCTCCTCCCTCCTCCAGGGGTGGCGTTTTGAGCCGTTCGGGCCAGCACCAGCGTGCTTCGGCAGCGCGCCAGAGCTGAGGCCGCCGGCGCGAGCGGGGCGGCCCCCTCAGAGGCCGGCGGGCTGCTCGCAGGCCCTCCCGCTTGCTGAGAGGGCCTCTTCAGAAGCTCCCTTCCCTCGCCCAGGAGGCTGGCCCGCCTTGCCCCGCCCCTCCTCCTCCTCCTCCGCCTCCTCCGCCTCCTCCTCCTCCTCCTCCTCCTCCTCCTCCTCCTCAGTAGCACCCTCATCCTCAACAGCATCCTCATCATCCTAATCCTCCTTTCTACTTCTTTTTTGTTATCCTCCTTCTCCTCCTCCTCCTCCTCCTCCTCCTCCTCCTCCTCCTCCTCCTCCTTCTCATCCTCCTCCTCCGCCCGCCCGCCCGCCCGCCTCAGGCGGGAGAACGTCGTGTCTGAGATGGACCTGGCGGGCTTAGACAAGGAGCCCCCGTGGTTCAGCGAGAAACTGGCAGTGCCTTTTTCGAAAAGTCCAGGCCGTCCATATTGGGGCCAGAGCAATCGGGTGGGATCAGATAATCGCGCTGCATCTGCATCGGCGATGTGCCGCGATCTGGAGCCCGATGTTCTGCGCCCGGACGCCGCCGATGCATCGACGATGTGGCGCGTTCCTCCGACCCCATCTAGTCGAAAGGCTTAACCCATTCCGCCGACCCCCAGAAGAGGAGATGTGCGGCTTCCGGTCTGGTATGTGCTGTTTGCCGCTTCCCGTCGATTTGCTTGCGTACTTATGTTGTTGTTTCGTCCTCCTCTTCCCTGCTGCAATTGAGGAGCTTTTCGGGATGCTCGTGGAGGCCACGGGAGTGGCCTCGTGGGAGCCTTCTGCTTGCTCCTGAGGGCCTTCTTGGGGCCCCTCTGGGGGCCTCTTGGGGTATGCTGGGGGTGTTGGGGGCCCTCTTGTGGGGGAGGGCCCCCTGGCCGAGCTCCTCCTGTGCCTCTCCTGGGCCCCTCTCGGGGCCCTCGTAGGCGCCTTCTCGGCCGTCTTGGGGGCCTCTTGGGCCGTTGTGGGGGGGCCTTCTCGGGCCGTCTCCAGGGGCCGTCCTGGGGGGCCTCTCGGGCCGTCTTGGGCCGGTGTTCGGGGCGCCTGGCGGGCCCGTGTCTTGGGCTTTCAGAAAGCCGAGAAGGCGAGAGCGCGCAAATCATCCGACACCTGAGAAATATTGGTGAATTTGTGCCTCTTGAGGCCTGCTTTGGGGTCTTCTTGGAGCCCGCTTGGGGCGCTATGGGGGTCTCCCTAAGATCCGGGCGTTGCAATGTTTCTCTCCGGGCGTTTTCCCCAGGTTTCGGGCCCAAGGACCATCACATATCGATCTGGCTTGGACAAATTCATCGGAAAGATGGGGTCTAGGGCTCTGGTCGTGATTTTTCTCGATGTTGCCATTTTTCGAAACATCGGATCTCAGGGTTTTTGGGCCGTCTTGAGGCCATCTTGGGTCGCCTTGGGGCCTTGTTGGGTCGTCTCCGCCTTAGGCCGTCTTGGGACGCACCCTGAGCCTCTCAAGAGGCGTCGGAGGGTGGATCTGGGGGCTCAGAGCCGGGGAGGTGCGTCGGGGAGCCTGTCCCCCCCTCCCCCTCGGTCACGCGTAAGAGTGGCCTTTCGCCAGAGTGACCTGGTGTGCGGGCCCACGGGCGTGGCCCCAGCACTGGCCCGTGCGCTCGGATCTGGCCCCGCCGCGGCCCGAGAGAGCCGCGCACGGAAGGTCGCTCCCGCCCAGGGCCCCTCTTGCGTGCTGGCGGCCCCCGTCCCCCGAGGGCCCCCGTCCCCTCAGACTGCACCCTGGACTTCTGGGGAGGGGGGGCGGGGGAGCGGGGCAGCCGAATGCCTCGCGCGCCTCCTCGCCCCCGACCAAGCGGGGGGATCCGCGGACTCCCGCCCCACTTTGGGGCGGCCTCCAGGGCGGCCCTCTCAACTGATTGTTTGTTGCTTGCCCAGGCCTCCCAGGATTTGCTCTCCGCCTTGCCTCCCCTCCATACTTTTAATCTTTTTCTTTCAAGCATTCAGTCTTCCCCCTGGCGTCGATTCGTTCCAGGGGTCTGTTCGTATCGCTCCATGCTGCATCCCTGAAGCCAGCGGTGGACAGACTGACAAGTGGATCGGCAGGATGATCGTCGCGCCTTCCCCTTTCGCCTACTACTCCGCCTCTGCAAAAGATGCGCTGGAAACGACAGATGCATAAGCCGTTGCTGGCTCCCCCTTCACTAATTTCGTGAGCACTGGGGGAGCCCTGGGCGTGTCGCGCCTCATCGCGGGATCTACAGCCTCGGGGCGGGGCGGGCGTGGCTGGATGCTGGCAACGGCGACGCTTGGGAGTCTCAGTGACATTGCCAATGCATGGCCATGTGAAAATACACGGCAGGGGGAATGCTTATTGAGGGAATGCTTCTGGGGGGGATGGTGAGGGGTGGAAGGGGAAAGGCAGTGAGTGGGCGAATGCAGATAGCAGTAGCGGCGTCTTCTGCAGAAGGGGTCTGTGGAGGAGTGGGGGCGTTGAAGGCGCAGTGAGGAAGACAAGCAAAAGCACGGGTGTTTTTTTCCCATACGCGAGCAATGGTGGGAGTCGAACAGTTAGGAGTGGCTACTGCGCTCATCGTAAGATGCCACTCGCACTGAAACAAGTGGGGGGAAACTACTTCGCAAAGAGCTCACATCAGAAGGCACCACTGCTTATCTGCTTAGATCGATCGGTCAATGCTCAGTTCTGTTCGGATGCGGGCCCCGTGTGCGCTCCACATGATTGTTACGCTGGCCTCTTGGGATTGCTGGCGCTATGCATGGAAATCTCGGCATCGAGTCTCGAGGGGTCAACGAGAGCCGTTGTGCCATTAGCTTGGGTTCCCGCTCCTGCTCAGTGGCTTTCCCAGGTTGCGCCTTGGTCTCTTAGCCACGGCCCCCCGCTGCCTCGTAGAACTACAGGATCGCTCCGCTTGCTGCTGATGCTCTCCTGTAGTGGAAGCCGTTGTGCTGCTAATGGGCGGGCCCAGCCCAGCGCTGAGAAATAGTCTAGCACGTCCTTGGGAATCACTCAGGGGGGCCCTGTCTTCGATGAAGTGCTTGAGAATATCCTTCTCTGGGCGAGCTGTTGAAGGGAACACCCGCGGCCGCCTGGCCCGCGCGTATGCCCAGAGGCTGAAAACAGCGGAGTGTACCGAATTTGCGGCAGTTGCCAGAGGCAAAAAACGACCCAATCCTCGGAACCCAGATCCCAGAAGTCATGAGGTTTTCATGACGTGGACCCCGAGAGGTTTGGACCCCTTTTCCCAGGACCGGCTTTTAATCCTGAGTCGTTTTCGGGGATGGTCCTGGGGCTCGGCGAAGGCGCCCAGAGGCCGAGAATAACAAACACCGGCCGTCGTGTTTCTTCATGACCCGAGGGGGTCTGAGAACGCTTAACTCAAACATCTCATGTCAGGAGGATCTGCGGGAGCTCGGCCTGTCTATGGTCGAGCGCAGCAAGGTGCTCCAGTGGGCGAGGCGGGAGTACCCGCTGACCCGGCTGACCAGCGGGGGCGGCTCCGAGCAGCAGGACTCGATTATCCGTGAGGGTGTCTCTTCGCCACATCGACGCCTGGTGCGGAACGACAGAAGTCAGACATGCTCGCATCTTGAAATATTGACGACGGGTGGTGTTTGATAGTTTTGGGTCTCTGGGGGCCCTCGCCGGCCCCTAAAAACCTTGGGAAGGGGTTGGGACTTTTGGGGTTCTGTATGGAAGAAATCAAGACATCGCATGTCTGGGCGTGGCATCTTTTCACACTGGGCATGTTGGCCTTGCTTCGGCCCCGGGAACCTCACATCTTGCATATTGATCTGGCTCGAAAAACGGCGCGCAAGGACTTGTCTTGGGCTCTGGTGGCGCTTTTTCGCGATGTTGCAGTTCTTCGTGACGTCGGATCGCAGGTCAGCCCACCCCCCCGGGCACTGGCCGGCGCGCCTGGATTTGCTTGGGGCCCCGCGCGGCCCCCGAAGGCAGCGCACCGCAGGCCACTTTTGCCCAGCAACACTCTTGCTCGTGGCCGGCAGGACGCGCACGGGGACGGGCGCATGACCATGGAGGACGTGGCGCACTCTGGCGGCCCACCCACCCCGTGCGCCGACGTCGCCGCCGTGCAGCAGTTCACGAGCTTGAGCGGTCTCGGGCACGCGGCCCTGATTGCCAGGGTGAACAGTGCAGCCCTAGCGAACTTCGACGACGAGAGCGACAGCTCGCTGCGGGCCCACCTCGACGACGTCGAGTCGAAGTGGGAGTTCTGGTGCCGCCTCGTACGCCAGGACACCGGCCTGGACGTGCTGCGGCAGCAGGTGGAGAAAGCGGAACAAATGCTGCGCGCTGGTGGGGACACGGCCAGCTTCAGCAACATTCGCGAGGACCTGCTCGAGAAGTTCTTTGATTTGAGCCCAGAGCGCCTCAAGGAGCTCTACGAGAGCCACGCGCAAGGCGGGCTCTTCTCCAAGGAGGCGCTCCGGGAGGCCCTGCAAAGCTGCGAGCTCCATGGGATCGACGATGGGGCGCTAGACACGCTGCTGTACGAGGTGAGTGCTGACAGGAGGGACCACATCCATCTGCCCGAGTTCGAGAGCCTGCTCACCAGGCTGAAGCTGGCACAGCTGCTCGGTGGGAGCCGCTTCCAGAATCGGCGCTTGGGTGGTGGCAACGTCCTCGAGAACATGACGATCCTGGAGTTCAGCCCTAAGGAGGCGAGGGAGTGCAGGGCGAGAGCGATCGATTTTTTCTTCGGTCACAGACCCCCTGAGTTCCCGATGCGGTGGGTGCACCTGGGCAGCTGCGACTTAACGCTGCTGCTCGCCCTCATGGTGAAGTATCAGCTCCACCCCCTCAGCGTCGAGGACACTATCGACCAGAGCTCAACCAGGTATGACAGGTACGGCGTGCATTCCTTTGTGGCGGTGGAGTACCTCTGCCTGGCGGACAAGTGTGAGCCAGCGGAAGCGGCTCTGGAGCCAGTGCAGGTGTTGGGTCGTCATCTGACGATCTTCTGCGCAGGGCCACCTCACCTAGACACGGTGATTACAGTCGCTCAGCCGGACAGGACGTTCGAGCAGGACTGGCCCGGCGACCTGCCCACGGGCGGTGAGAACGGGGTGGAGTGGCTACAGGATATACGCAGGCGCTTGTATGCGCCAAGGTCACGTACTCGACAGCGCAAGGCGGAATTTCTCACGTACGAGATTATTGATTGCTGCTCCGACGATCTCATAAGGGTCTGCAGAGCGTACCACCTAAGACTGAGCCGGCTCGAGGAGTGGCTCGACAAGAAGTGGTTGAAGCCTTCCGACGGCACCAGAGGGTCCTGGGGCACGGAGGCTATCCAAGAGGCCTGGGGCATGGAGGTTCGCCAGATACGCACCCAGCTCGGCATTGTAGCCCGCAGGCTGCGCGGTCTTCAGCGCATCCTGCGCCGCTTGGGAGATGACGACGACTTGTCGCGGGCACTCGCGGATTACTGGCGGGACGTGGCCGATCACGTCAACGAGGCTTACGACGACACCTTGGCAAATGTCGACAAGTCCAAGAGCATGCTGCAGTCTTTCGAGCAGTTCAAGGATAGTGAGCAGGACAAGGAGTCCAAGGATCAAGACGAGCGCATGAATCGGATCTTGTTTGTCCTCACTATCGTAACAACGGTCTTCACACCCATCACCTTCCTGGCTGGCGTATACGGCATGAATTTTGCTGACGAAGACGGGCGCGCAACCATTCCAGAATTATTATGGCCTCGAGGCTACTTGATATTTTGGATTTTCATTTTGGTATACTTCTGCCTGTCAGTTTTCGGCAGCGTGTGGCTCTGGCGAGGCTATGCGAGGCCGCTACAGCAGCATCAGCTGCCACAGCCATCCAGGCAGGTCAGCCCAGAGCGACACACGACACCAGCACGGTCTTCGTACATCTGTCTGGATCACGACGGTGTGGATGGTGTTTGAAGTGCGTTTGGCGGAACAGTGCCATCGGCTTTTCGTTAACATTTGTACGGGCATTGCTTTGTTTCTGAGAAGGGACTGATCGACTCATGCCACATTTCGCACGTCCATGGCATGTTTCGCCTCGTGCCGAAGGTACATAACAGGCGGGTCTCTGTTACCAATCAATCGCTGTGTGTACAGCACCAGAAGTGAGACAAGATGTCACATCGACAGATGCCGCCTTCGATGGGAAGAAGAGGTTATGCGTAATGTTCATCATGCGATGACTGGTTATGTTTCTCTGCACGGTTGCTTGGTTTTGCACGTTATTTCTACTAGCATGCTCACAGTTCTACGCACGGGAGTCTTGTTGCGTGCCCAATCGCGACAGAGTTCAGCGCGTACTTGTCGCAGTCATTCAGCTGATTCCGGTCCTCACAGCTTGCTTGTGGCAACCTCAAAACAATGGCCGTCATAGTTTGAGAGGTTGGGAGGGCTCCTGGGGACCCATGCTCGCCCCACCGAGATAGGAACACTGAACTCCTTTTAGAGGCGCGTGCCGACGAATGAAGGGCCGAGGGAATGGGTTTCTCCTTCCTTGTTTCGATCTGGGACAGGGCCATCTTGTCAAGCCCCTCTCCGGGCTACGGTCGGAAACTTTAGTTTCGCGTGTCGCGCCGCCGGTTGTGGCCCACCGCGCTTCGGCGCGACGCGCTATCCACACGCCAGCCCTCGAGCGTCAACGACCCGAGCCTTCCGAAGCCTTCCGCCCCGCGGAGCGGAGCGAAACGCTGTCCGCTCTCTGGGCATACCGTGCCGCTCGGGCCGCCGCCGCGAAACGCTGAGCACGAGTTCCTGACCGTACCTTCGGATGCCAGGCCGCCAAGTGGCCCACACGGCACCAGTCATCGCGGGCGGCCAGCACGTCCGTGTCCACGGCCTCGCGGGACGGGCCCTCGGCCCGTGACCCTGAGGGTACGGTGTGCTTTTCCTGTTCGTCCGCGGATGCACCGCGCGGAGAGCATCCGTGCGACCGCGTGTCCTCGGGGTCGTGCCGGGGAATCCTTGGGCTACCCCCAGGAGCGCGAAGACGATCTCTCTTCGCGCGTCGTGGTCTGGGCCATGGCAGCTGCCCTCTCCCAAGGCAGCTGCGCAACGAGCGCGAAGCGTCCGCCGCCCGTGAAGGCAGTCCGCTCGAGATCCCAAGAAAGTAAGCGAGAGAGGGAGACATGGGGCATTACCACGGCAACCCGTTCCGAGATGGAAGATGACGAAGTCGCATGCGTCTGTGTCTTCGCAAGTGTTCCTCTCCGTTTCCGTGGGGGCTGTCGGGAGCCTTGAGGTGAGAGCCCCCTTTTGGCAAGGATGCTGTCTTTTTAGGGTACCATCGTTTTTCTTTGTACACATTTGTGTTGAGGTTCTCTCAGCGGGTAGGAAGCTGGACCCAGATGACACGGCCGGCCTGGACAAGAGCTGGGTTCACATGCGGCCAGATGTCTTTCCAGCGCTCGGCCTTTCTATGGCCGTGTAAGCGGTTCTTCCGCATGTGGTCCCAGACATCCGACAGAGCGTGTTCTACCGCTGCTGGCGGAAAATCGGGAAGGGGGTCACTACCGGTTCGAATCCCCCCCCTCCGGAAAATTGGAGGTGGTCACTACCGGTTCGAACCTCCCCCCCCCAGTCCATCATGGAAAGGGGGGGTCACTACCGGTTCGAACCCCCCCACCCCTTCGGAAAACCGGGGAGGTCACTACCGGTTCGAACCCCCCCCCTCGAAAACCGGGGGGCGTGCGGACAGTAGTGGGGACGGTGGTGGTGGGGACAGTGGTGATGGGGCAGCGGGACAGTGGTGGGGACAGTGGGACAGTGGTGGGGACGGTAGTGGTGGGGACAGTGGTGAAGGCCGTGGTGAGGACAGTGGTGTGACAGTAGCGCGGTGGGGAAAGTGGTGGGGACAGTGGGGACAGTTGGACAGCGATGGGGACAGTGGGGACGCTGGGACAGCACAGTGGGACAGCGGCGGGGACAGTGGGACAGTAGTGGGGACAGTGGGGACAGTGGGACAGTGGTGGGAACCGTGGGGAAAGTGGGGAGAGTGAGACCGTGGTGGGACAATGGTGGGAACAGTGGGGACAGTGGGACAGTTGTGGGGACGGTGGTGGTGGGGACAGTGGTGTGGGGACAGTGGGAATGTGGTGGAAACAGTGGGACAGTGGAGGGTACAGTGGTGGTGGGGACTGGTGAGGGCGGTGGCCAAGACGGCGGTGGGACAATGGGACAGAGGTACAGTGGGGACAGTGGTGGGGACAGTGGGGACAGTGGTGGGAGCAGTGGGACAGCTCAGAGGGACAGCGGAGGAGATAGTGGGAAAGTGGGGACAGTGGGGATAGTCGGGCAGTGGTTGGGGCCGTGGAGAAAGTGGGGAGAGTGGAACTGTGGTGGGAGCAGTGGTGGGGACAGTGGGGACAGTGCGACAGTGGTGGGGGCACTGGTGGGGACACTAGGGACGGTGGTGGAACCAGTGGGGACAGTGGTGTTGAGGACAGTGGTGCTGGGAACAGCAGGGGGGGATGTGGTGCGGACGGTGGTAGGGACCGGGAGTCGTTTGCTGGCGGTGAGGGGGGGGGAGGGGTTCGAACCGGTAGTGACCCCCCCGGCTTTCGAGGAGGAGGGGGGGGGTAGTGACCCCCCCGGTTTTCGAGGGGGGGGGGGGGTTCGAACCGCTAGTGGCCCCCCCTCCGGTTTTCCAGGGGGGGGGGGTCGAACTGGCAGTGACCCCCCCCTGGTTTTCTGGAGGGGGGGGGGGGTAGGGGGGGGGGGGTGCCGGGGGGGGGGGGGATCCAGCAGGGGGGGGGATTTTCGGAGGGGGGGGCGCCCCCCCGGGCTCCAGAGGAAGAGGGGGGGGAATTTTCCACAGTAGAGCCTTTTCAGCTGATTCGATTTTTCAATACGGGGTCCCCATAGGTCCCCAACCTTTCCCACGGCTAGTCTTCACGGTCCCGGGGCCGGGCGAGGAACCCCAGATATACAGAACGGTGAAACACGTCCTGCTTGACTATTGCGAGGATTTGCGAGTCTGGGTTTCCAGCTCGTGGCCTCCGAATGATGCAGACGTGAATCCACACATGTTTGTTTTCAGTTTCTTGGTAATGCGCCCAAGCAATCAAGACATGCCCAGGAGGGTTCGCAGCGCCACGCTGGAAAATTGACGACTAAATAGACATTCCAAATCAGTCGTGGTCGTCGAGGCCGTCAGGCAGCAGCCAGCGACCCAGACGAGAAACACTCATCCGTTTGACCGTCCCTGCCCGATTTGCTTTCAAATTGCTTGGTCGCATTCGCGAATCAAAACCTGCTGCGCCCGCATCCCGCGCCAAGACGGCAATGTCCGCCAGGTTCCTGCACGTTCGGATTCTCCTGCCACACCGGCAGGGCGCACGCCAGCTCCTTCTGCAAGCAGGAGCCGGGCGCCCGCCGGGGTCGCGATCGCCTTTATCTGCGGAGGCCGGGCTGCCAGCCATCTGGCCTTTGCGCTCGCCTCTCAATGGCTCGAAGAAAACAAAAGTTGCACAAGCATGATTTATCGAAGGTCCGCGCGGGTCTCTTGAATCGGAGCTTGGCCTCCCCTGGCGGCGCCTGCGGCGCCGCCCCTGGCGCGCTCCACGCTCCAGGGAGGGGTCCATCCATCGCCGATCTAATTAATCCGCGCGGACCTCGAGGACATTCTCTATATTATGTTTCCTTCCCCATGCAGTGTTTGCACTACGGGAACTGAGCCTGGGTGGCGGTCTGGCGGCTATGTTGTCGCCGTCGCCGCCCCGTCGCCGCCTCGTCGCCGCCCGTCCTCTGGGCCTGGGTGGCGGTCTGGCGGCTATGTTGTCGCCGTCGCCGCCTCGTCGCCGCCCGTCGTCTGGGCCTGGGTGGCGGTCTGGCGGTTATGTTGTCGTCGTCGCCGCCCCGTCGCCGCCTCGTCGCCGCCCGTCGTCTGGGCCTGGGTGGCGGTCTGGCGGTTATGTTGTCGCCGTCGCCGCCCCGTCGCTGCTTCGTCGACGCCAGTCGTCTGGGCTTGGGTGGCGGTCTAGCGGCTATGTTCTCACCGTCGCCGCCCCGTCGCCGCCTCGTCGCCGCCTCGTCGCCCCCAGTCGTCTGGGCTTGGGTGGCGGTCTGGTCGCTATGTTGTCGTCGTCGCCGCCCCGTCGCCGCCTCGTCGACGCCCGTCGTCTGGGCCTGGGTGGCGGTCTGGCGGCTATGTTGTCGTCGTCGCCGCCCCGTCGCCGCCTCGTCGCCGCCCGTCGTCTGGGCCTGGGTGGCGGTCTGGCGGCTACGTTGTCGTCGTCGCCGCCCCGTCGCCGCCTCGTCGCCGTCCGTCGTCTGGGCCTGTGTGGCGGTGTGGTTGGCTATGGTGTCGGCGTCGCCGCCCCGTCACCGCCTCGCCGCCGCCAGTCGTTTGGGCCTTGCTTGCTTTGCGTTGCGTTGGTTTGCAAACCATCCTTTGCACCGCATAGTTTGCATACCATGGCTTGCACCATATATACTGCACCACATAGGTTGCACCACCCAGATTGCACCGCATTGATTGCACAACTTAGGTCGCACAACATGGGTTGCACCACATGTGTTGCACCACATAGATTGCTTCACATAGGCTGCACAATGTAGATTGCACCACACATAGTGCATCACACTGGTTGCGCCACGTAGGCACATGTTGTACCACATAGGTTGCGCAACATGGGTTGCGCAATCTGGATTCCACACATAGGCTGTACAATACATGATGCACACCATATGTTGCTCCACATCGGTTGCACCACATGGCTTGCACAATCGCAAGAATCCCCCGCAGCAAATGGGACGAAGTGCATGCGCGCGCGTCGTCGCGCGCGTATGCCGAAATCCTTCAAACATTTTTCTGGTTTCGTAAGGATTTCATAGAGTTCCCCGAACACATGTAAACAAACACATGGTTATGCGACCTCAGTTTTCAAGAATGCCTGCGCCCGTGTTCCTGCGACGTTTTA